ACAACCTAAATGGGGAATTAAAACAAGTTCGTTAACTCTTATTTGAAAAGGTAATATCTAACCTGTAAGGGAAAGCGAGAGGGCCTGATAGGGTGACTTTGAAGATTTTTACAGAAGACAATTTAGTTTTAGCAACTAAGTTTACCGAGATATTAGTAAGAGCTTATGAGCTGAAAGTAATCCCAACTGAGTGGTCTTGATCCTAGTTCATAAGAAGGGACTGAAGCCTTCTTACGATAACCACAGATAAATTAGCTTAACTAACAATATCCAAAATACTAGCCATTACAATCATCCGACGCTCAACTACTACTCTAGAATGTCTTCTTAAAAATTAAGGCAGTTTTAGACCTGCACGTGGGTGTATCGACTGGATATTCACAAAATCTCGACAGTTTCAGAAACCTGGCTTGGCATTCATCAACATGAGTCAGTTGTGACGTAGACAAATCTGCCTACCAAACAGAAAGAATGTATAACACTCAGCAGCATGCTCTGTATTACTTTATATATGTAGAACATAGTCTATGAAAATAGATTATGTGTGCAGGCTTCGTATTTTCGATCATAGGTTTCTTTGAAGCACTGTTCGCGTATCTTAGTACCAGTAAGCTTTGAGGTCTTGGTTTTTGTTTATTGGTTGCTGTGTCATTTGAGAGATAGGTCACCAGTCTTACAGATAATACGGGGGAACTAATCAAATCGGACTAAAGAACTCAATCGTTGCTACAATGACGGTTCGATCACACTGGCCCCAATACAATCCAAGTATTTGTTCTTTCTTTTCGTCGTTACATCAGACAGTTAGACGGATAATAAGATAATTAACAGTATAACAAGATTTTAGGCGAGATGAATGTAGTTTTAATCAACACCGAAAGATATTAGAAACGACAAAACTTACACAAGCTAAATCATCATCTCCCATATCTAGAGCGGCGATGAACACCTGTTCCAAAATCGAGTACTCTGTAAGAAAAGAACAATATTAAAAGATGTTGTTTAGGAAAATAATTAACTGAAAATATGTCAACAACATGGATGACTATGAGCACTTCATGTTGGTTTTCTTCTACTGAGAATAAGACAAGTGATTGGAGAAAAGAATGATATGATCAAACCAACGTCGTTCCGAAGATTTGAAGGTCTGTTAGCAAATTAGGTGTGATGGTATAAGCTGATTAAAATTTATCAAAAGTAATAGATGAAAACTAAACAAATTTATTTTTATCTAAGTAGCAATTAAAAATTTGATGGGACGAAGTATAAACTGTACTTCTGAACACTGACCCTCAGCCAGACAAATGCACTTAGATTGGCTTGTATTTTACTGCAAATTATGACTTAATCATTTGTAAATTCAGGCTGGGTGATATTAAACTGAATGTTCTGATTTAGTGCCCGTATGCATTATACTGATGGTTAGTGGAAATACGAAAAAAACTTAGTGAAACGACCTAGAAGTAATCATGCTCACTACTAACTATAGCTATGAGGCTTATCATTTTGTATGAACAAGGTATTTAATCAGGTTGAATGTTATAAACAAGAAACGTGAGCGGATAAATAGCTGTCTTAACGCTTGAGGACAAAATTTCTATAAGATGCAAAACAAATTTTAGACTGAAGTGCAAAATCATTCATTTTTCTCCATCAAAAAATGAATTTACAGTTTAGAATCAGAATTCCTCGAGGTGATTGGGAATTGTTGTTGCTGAATACAAACTAAAAGAGGAAAAAGTACTATAGCCTGTATTCCATATATTCTTAATAGAATCCACAAACACAAACAGCGAGTCATATAACTTCATTTGATTCGCGCTGTTGACAAACTTCGGCGGGACTCTAATTTATGGACGACCTTTGAATGAATCTTAAGTGACCTTGAGAAATATTAGTCAATCAGCAAACAGTCAGTAGAGTAAAAATATGTTATACAAAACAAAGGAAATAAAGTGGATACACTTCCTATTCGTGGTTCAAAAACTTCTCAAGACTAGAAAGAGGTTCACAGGTCCTAAAATCGTAATACATGCAATATAGGGAATCATCCGTATGGCTACAGAACGGTCGGCCTCTGATAAAGTCTCGTAAACTCTTTCAGCCTCGACCACATAGCTTCAATATTGTTTATGTGCACTCCCATTGTTGAGTGCACAAAATTCTACTTGTGGATAACGACACGATGCACACAACCAAGCCTACGTAGGAGTCTACGCTTTCCAAACATCCGTATATATTATAGTACCTGGCTGCAGCCAGTGTTACTGGTGTTTTTATTATCCAGTTCGCAATAATTGTCATAATCTGTCTTAGTTAGCAACTATATGTAGGGTTTTCATTACGAACTGACATCAGCTATAATTCCAGAAATCTATTTAGTCAAATGGATGAGAGGCTTTCACGCCAAAATCCGAGATATATTATCTTGCACCTGATTGATTCATCCACAAATTATAGCATCGCCGTTTTATTTGTTATAGCCGCTCAATTATCACGTTTTTTACAAAATTCCCTGTGAACCGATTGTACGTTGGCATTAAGCACTGAAGTTGGCGCTGTAACATTGAAATCTCTAAAACGCTTCTGATTAGCTCGTTCATAAATTAGAGTCTCGTCCAAACTTTAAATCAAGAAATTAATATTCGATAAATACTACCAAATAGTAGTTATTTGGTAAATATCAACCTGAAAACGGTGCACCACGAAAGTGCTTTCATCTACAGTTACAAAACTCAAAAATAATTATATTATAGGAAACTAAATATTCACATACTTTCATAACCCAGCTTGTCTATATGATCACAAAGGGATAACTTCCATAGATCAATAACTTTCTCGTTTTCTCGAAGACCACTCTCACGAATCGCACGTAGTTCATCTAATGCACCTGAATAGTGAGGATTGTAAAATTTATATTATCACATCGAGATTTAGAAAAGAGATAGATGCGTTTGTCCCATTGTGATTAGCTATATGACCCCTCCTCCCAAAAAGCCTAATGAATCTGTACTCAGCCACCTGGGTTAGATCAGTCATTATTAGCTTTAGGATGTGACGCTGTTCGTATATGACCACTGTTAATGTCTTTCCAATCGAAATCTAATTGACCTAACATATTATCGCGACAACCACTGATTTGCTTTTTTCAACACGTGAATTAACCATTATAAGCCCTAAAAGTGTAAAATTTCTCATTTGACGGATCTACCGCATACAAGCAATATAGTAAAGAGACAGTTGCAAACCACTTATAAATGAACATCGTCCAGACATTTAGAGAAAAACCGACAACAGTAGGATTGCAAGGAAAAGTCAAGAATAGTGGTTGGTTGAGAACTCAGTACAGATGGAAGACATTTAACTGTCAGTTAACCCAGTTATTTGGACATAGTAAAGGAACTGTGGTGAAAAGGCAATGAAGTGTGAGATGAACATCAGGAAGGGTATGTTGTCTACAAACACTCGAGACAAATGACCGGAATATAACTCTTCGAGGCAGAGTCCAATGACCATAATATATCAATTAAAGCCTATGGGGATGCTGGAGCATAGGCGTCCATAATCAGATTTTCTTGCAAGCAGAAATGACTTTTGTTACAACTAATTTGTGATATAAACCATTATTAATATAGAACTGATTTTCAGAACCAACTGTTCGAAAGTCCTTGGAAGGTAGTCTATGATCAACTGTTTAACACAATACCCAAACACTCAAATGGAATAATTAAATATATGTAAGGGAGCCGAGATGTTGAAACAATGAACTCCAGAGTAAGAATCTGTGAATTAATTTGGTTAATTACATTCGGTGACCATTACTTAAGTTGATACCACAAGTTCTGACCATTGCAATTAATACTAAGGGTAAGTACGTTTATCGGAGAAACGATCAATGGACAATCATGGTAAAATATCTAATAGAATGCCCCCAAATGCCCTGGTACGGCCGAGAGTGGGGAGAGTCCGCTCTCTCTCTCCAGATGTTCTCACATGGCCACGCGTATATAGCCTCTACCAGGGACGTCCTACTCACTGCCTTCCCTCACCGTGGTGTTTACGAAAATGAGAGGACGAAAAGCGAATGTCCGGCGCTTTAGCCGGATTTCAAATGGTGCACATGGGCTCCAGTATCCTGCGGGAACAAATGGAACAAATGAAATTTTTAATGAAGATTCACTTTCTCAGTAATGAGTTTTTAAACGCAATCCATGCAATATTAAGCTTATATTCATCAAGAAATTAAAATATCTTTAATCACTTGAAGTTATTTTCACATACACGAAAGTAGTACCGAGTACACAAAATGGTACTCCTGAAAATATTCAACGGGAATTGTCCAAAACTTTCGTGTAACATCTAATACTTGCATTTGATAGTTAATGAATGTCCGTGCATAGTTGAACACATAGCCATCTTAGCTACGATCGAGGTGAATTATATGTAAATTACAGAATCGCAACTTACACAACGAAATAAATGGACTGTGTTTATACAAGGCCAAAACCATATGCATAAAACTCTTACACAGATGTGGTACCGAAGTAGAAATAAATTGAGGATGACAAAAACACAGTTTACTGAGACTCCATTCTGAGTCACAATTATTCACTGAGTATTGCGTATATGTTTTATGGAAATGCAAACACAACTTGAAACTTATGAGTATGTCTGTGTTCCAGGCCTTCCGTTATCCGTTAAAATATACCAAAGACGTAAAGTGTGTGAACGAAAAAAATTCTCATTACGATCAGTAAAGTTGGTCCAGAAGTTTAGTTCGTCAAATATTTTTAAAAATTCATGACAAAAGAATCTGTAACTTAGCGGCTTACCATAGACAATGTATACTTAACGACCAGAATAGCTTTGGTGTTTCAATGTAAATCAATACAAGTTGGTGATCAAAATGTTACAATGCTTACGTTGTTTACTTATTGATCCGTGACTTTTTTGTTTGTTCGTTAAAATATCACACACCAGTGCGAGAATAACAGTCATAAATCCATAAACAATCCTCCTGATTTGAGAGCAGATAGAAATATCACGAATTTGCATTTCCGTCTTTCCTTTAATCCAGGGCGGTTATGAGGCGAAATTTATTTGGATAAAATTTTTGAAAGCCTGTGGGTTTTAAAATATATTCGAGATTAGGTATCGTTGTTGTTTTATTTACCTACAGAGCATTAATAAATTGTAAGTGTTCGTTTATTTTCACTCGCTTGCGAGTTAACGTTCGAATAACTTTATATAATGACTTAAAGAATAAAACAAAATGGTGGTTACCGGAAGGAAAATGGGGAAAGAGACAATACACCTCAAGGTTATCAAGCTTTGAAGAAAGCGCTTGACCATGCAAGGCCACGCGAACACCAGACATGAAATTCCAGATTAGGGTTTCAATACATGACAAAGGAATAACTTCGACAAGGTGATATCAAATAATTGGGGCGCATTTTCTTGGTAAACTCAAAAATATACTTTTCTAACTGACGTGAATTTTGCAGCAACCACAACGGTGTATGTCTAAAAATGCCACGGGTATACAAGGTTTTACAACACTTTTACATGTGACAGTTTTAGAATCAAGTTATGTCAACCCAGCTAGAGCACAGCTCAAAAGTGAAGAATTCCGAAGATATAAATAAAAAGTTATCGGTATATCGATAAGCGTTCAATCTAAGCTGGCTAATAGTTTTAGGCAGTGTGTAGCATGGCGTAACCTCTTGTGATCTAGTGCGGATGCATGACCGAAAGCCACCAGTTAGATATGTCCAGTAAAATTAGAGAGGAAAGCATCAATTTTGAAGACTTACAGAATTATTTGTTTTGGGAATTTATTTGCCGCTACATGTCTGTATTAGTACTGATATGGTCACAATCCAAAATAGTCAAAGTTTAATGTTGCTAACATAATATCACTCACGTGGCCAACTAGGTAACCCATTGGCGTACGAAAGTGGTCTGTGTTAGGTAACCAGCTTCATATTTTATTCTATGTATATAGTCCAATAAAAGTTAAAACTCTAGTTGTTTCGTAAACGACTTCATCCCAACTACGTGGATCAGAACGAGTAAAAATATCGTCATAAGATGAACTTAAATATCACATATTAATCATACGTGGCTTTAAAATCCAGTTAATGTCTCCATAATAAATAATTATTGGTTAGCACTGAGATTAGTTTTGTCCAGTCCACCACATATGCTAAACATTCTTACATAGAATTATCCTTACCATCAGTTGGCTATGTTGAGGATACTAAATATTTGATCCGACTAATATTTCGTCTATCCAGGCCTACACTTTCTCAACCGATAGTTCAGTTAGTGTAGATCAGCTTTCTGAAAAGGTGTGGAATAGGTTAGACGTCACACTACTTGAAGTCACAAATCATTCCGTCTTATCCTCAACGTTACATAGATTCTAGTCCTACCCTTGATTGATGGATAAACCAATGTAGAAGCTTAAAAGGAAAAAAACCTCTCTTACTTATTCCTTACAACTAATCATGAAGTTTTGGTGCCCTTCTTTGACTTTTTAGTGACGGCGAAGATGAGATATAACTTTATCATTGCAGTCGTAGGTTGAACTCAAACCGACTCAATGACGCTAAACATTTATACCAAATATATTAGTATAATTTAATTCAATATTCATACACAAACAGATCGATGATGAGAATGAACAAATGAACGACGTAGGTCGGGTAGATGCATACCTCTGGTAATAAAATTGTCTCAAGCCACACATCAAAATAAATAAGAAGCAAGAAATACGTCAGTTACATATATATATATATATATATATATATATATATATATATAATTAATAGGTACATAGAAAGCTTACTATATCGTGAACATAGAAATACAACAATAAAGCTTTCTATTAATATTATGATAAATATAAATAATGATAATCAAAAGTACAGAGCCGTGGGTTTTAACTTAGTATTCGTATTGTTATAGCATAGACTGCGCATATACAATTCCACTCCATACAATACCTCACTTTGTAATTATGCAGACTTGTGAATAACAAACATAGCAGTAGGCTGAGTCGAAAAAATGTAACTTCCTAGATGAAAATTCGTTTGGCAAGAGCGTATTCAAGGTCTTGTCTTAGTTCGTCCATTATCTTGTCGATCTGAAAGCGAACGTTTGAAGATTGAGTCCCCAAGAAATACTTCATGCATATCGGTTACGGTCATATTTATCATTAAACCATCAACGAAATTCATCTTCAGAAGTTCAGGGAAAATGTTAATTGCAAATGACCCTAAGAAAGCTTGGATTGAGTCTCATCGCCTCTTGAAATATTTAGCCGGTTATAGTCACTTCTCGGAAAATTGTCTAGTTTGACACGAACAAGTTATAGGTTTTATTTTCTAACTAAATTAAACGATAACTAGGATACTGTTTCAAACATGACAGTACTTGTCTTACTGAAGACGCTTCCACATGCTGTTGTGCTTAAGAAGGCCTTTATCCATAACATCTTGTTAGTTGATGATCATATAGCAAGTCGAAACAGGATTTAGGTATGAAGAAGTTTGAAGAAGTATCTGAAAGATGGTCAGTGAATCGAGAAGTGTATGAACCCAGGCTGACTGGTTAAGTGAGGAAGAGGTAGCATAATATATCAAGTCATAATCTGGTGTATATGTTCAAACAAGATACTCCAAGCTGAGTAGAACAAATAACAACATCAACAATATCGAAAACTTACAGAACTATTCGATTTAGGAATTCACAGATCATTATACTCCCTCGCCAATTGGATCTCGACGAAACCTTTCTCGAAGCCGCTGCTACGCTTTTGATTAAACAATTATCAAAGTGTATATCCACTTAATATGGGATGAAAAATATACACGTGACAGCACTAAATAAAACAAGCTAAGCGTCAGGCTGTTCAGTTATGAGGTTCAAGTCTTTCTAAAACTGCTTCGCACTCTCTGTGTATCGTGTTACACTACACAGCATACTATTTTCGCACAAAAATCGATGATTTTCAGAAAGATAATGGATCCGTCTATTTACAAACATTGACAGTGTCCATAAAAACCCGTTTAAGATGACTAATGAACCCCATTTCATACCAAACCCACATCCCCCAACCGACAGTAACTGATCGCTTCTGAAACGTTCAGGAGCTATCACTCAAATAACTAAGTGATCCACTTCCATTACTCTTCAAAACCTTGAAGACCACCGCAATTAAATCCTCAAGACAACTATGAATAAGACGTTTTTTGAGAGCTCGTTCTGAGTTTTAGGCTCTTAAAGTCATCTCAATGATCTGCTGACCAACTTGGATAATAAGGCGACAAGGTATAAACGTAACGTTTCATTGAGACAAAATCAATTGTTAAAGAATGACCTGAAGTCATTAAACTATGCTGTTTGGAACATAAAATTCTTGGAAAAATCGGATACGTACACATTAAAAAGTGGCCACGGAAAAATTTTGACTGATGGAGTTAAGTAATGAAAGATAGGAAAATTATTACACTAAACTTTAGATGAGCACTTCATATGATAGTTTGCGTCACAGCTGATCATAGTTAGATAACGGATAAAAGCTGGGAAGCCCCACACAGCTATTTCACCATTGGATGGCACTTTTCAAAGATCACATTATGAAAAGCCGAATTAGGATAATTGGATTTGATGTATCGACTAATAATTCTCGAGACTCTTCAGTACACACCTCAGTAGTCGAGAATGTACAAAGACCAAGGTAAGAAAGAAAGCGGTGGAGATACTTGTAGGTACATAACTTGTAAACGGAATAGAACGCACGAAAAACATATACATTCACAAAGCACCGGGTGTCGGACCTCTATCTCGTGGCAAGGGATTTACCCTAGGATCGCTGAACCAATGAACGTTCACCCAGCTTTCCGGTGGTACGATACGCATGCTAATTTCGATCCTTCTTGGAGTTATGAATGTTTTGTTGAGCTGGAATTAATATTCGTCACGTGCTGAATGATTTTCAGCTGTTATTTAAGACCAGTCCGTGATTTAGGCAGTGAGAACCGTTTTTATTTAAAGTGTAACGCAAGTTGTTTTATAAATAGTGTAAACTGTGCAATCATAGAGCAGTAATATTCCCGCAATGAAAAAACGGAACTGGATGAGGATAAGTCCACATGCACGTTATTTTGAAAGATTCTTAGCTGCTAGCTTCATAACCTTTATAAATTAATTGGTGACCTAAAGATTAAGTGCATTTCATTGGGGTTAATTTTCTAAGGAGAGACTAATATATACACAAATGAGAATTTTCGCATTTTATTCAGTTGTCTAATACACTTTCTCGCCCAAGTAGTCTGTTGAACGGTTAGCGCGTAGCACACCGTGTACCAACATCAGATTTCGGACATCGTACATCACAACTTACATGTTATCTCTCAAGTCGAATTTCATGTAGGTTGTGTTTCGAGATACAAGGAATAAATATATTTGGAACAATCACGTAAACTGACAGAATCAGTTCATTCAAAATGATTTTTCCATGGCGTAGAATAGCGTGATACTAAAATCCGATAGATGAACTATGATTTCAAGGGAGATGTCCCCAATTAGTGAAGCGGTTTTTGTCGACAATGTCATACCTTAGTGTATCAGATATAATGTATTGTATCGAGATACAGGCCCCCAAATATCGTGGTATGGCAAAAAGTGAGAAGAGTCACCTCTCCCTCTCCAAATGCTCTCACATGGTCACGCATATACAGCCACTCATAGGGAAGTCCTACTCACTGCCTTCTCGCGGAATTACTGTTGTTTAACAAGTTGAGAGGACCAAAGCGAATGTCCACCTCTTAGAGCGGGTTGATGGACACGGAGAGTCCACCAAGGAGAGCTGGAGAACCATCATTCCAAACCATTGGTGTACATGAGATGGAACCCATGGTCCTGAAGGAACAAAAGGCTTATAAACCAATCGTTGATCATCAGCCACTATGGGACTGAATCTCCTTACGTCGCTCCACTGCTTTGTGAATCATACCTTTAGTTCGAAGACTTCGGGTGTGGCCCCCTAA